GCTTCCGGGCTGAAAATGGTGACACCCCCCCTGGAGGCTGACCCCAGGCGCGCAAAACCAACACTTGCAACTTTTTGGGACTACCGCCTCCCGCGTAAAATTGGAAATAGGACAAGTATCGCTTAAAGAACGAGCGAGAAACACGAACGGGCCTTTTACGGCAATTCCACATCTAAACGCACACGGCCGCCCTCAAACCACGGTTAGTGTATATCAGCTACTTACCCCCACCTCGCGTAGATACTTTGCTCCCACACGAAAAAGGTTGCCCTTGGCGAAAAAAAGGCACATCAGCAGTTTGCTAAGAACCACGGGGGCAGGAAAAAGCTGAGTTTTTTTTTACGACGGTTTGTGTCGCAACTTATACACGTCCCAGACGCTGTAGGCGGGAGCTCGTTGAGAAAACATGGGATGACAAAAGTGAAAACCAGCGAAGAACATGCGTTGTTGCCAAGTTCCCCTTTAACAGGTTAGCTGTCCAGCTAACTAATACTTAAAACAGCTTTAAGGCCAAGATGTAGCATAGCTTACTACATTTTGTGGGTTAGAGGTCATGTAAAAAATAAATAAAAAATCCCAGGTGACGCTAGCAAATCTACTGTGTAATATTTGTCCACTCTGAGTTTAGGGTGGTAGTTTGTATGGATTTTTCTTGAGCCCATTTGAAGGCAGGATGAAAACAAGTTTACCTGGAACCATGAAAAAGTCGGACGGAGACAGTGTTTTAAACGGACTAGTAGAGCTAATGTTAGCTGAATTAGCTAGCTAGCAAAAGCTGAAAAACCTGTCTCTATAGGCACTGTCTGTAACTTGTAGTCCATCATTCCTAGGACTACAATTCCTTTTATGTCACATAGGTTCAACTGATGACAAACAAGCCTGACTGATTGACACAAGTGTGCTGCATTACGGCTAATCAGGTGATGTTCTTTCAACCTTGTGGACTGCTGCTTCCACTTGCTACCGTCTCTGACTGAGAGCTTGTAGAATAAATAGGATTTATGCACATATATCCATTAAAAAACCTTAAAACAAACCTGCCAGTGACAGTTGTCATTTCAGCTGACAAAACTGACGATCACCAGCTAAAAATGACATGCCTGCTTTTGTCTACTTTAGTCTGAAATTGTTTAAAAAATGACTAAGAATTTTGAGTGGAAAGTGTTACAGTTAACTGCTCATGTGCCCTGTGAAAACACATATCTAGACAGGTGTAACAAGAGGTGAGCGAGCAGGGCTTAGCGAGCAGTCAATAGCTTTCCATTCTTTAAATAAAAGGGGCTTCCTGAGATTTAAGTCTTTAGCAAAGGTTATGGGGTCAAAACAATTTTCTAGATAGCATGAAAAGTTTACAGTCTTCTGTAAAACGAACAGAAATCATTACCCAATCTAGACAACATTAAAGGGAGGGTAATGGAATAGGGTAAAAGATGTCCATTGAGGTTTAGACCTTTAAAGAATCCTCTAACCCAGTAGATCAATATGTCACACGAGCCAAGATGTCCTTAATAAAAGTGACCAGAGCATTTACTTTGAAGATTAAAGGAATTCATTTGATGGGAAAACTACCCGCCAACTTCATGTTTCAGAGTAGATGAAAAACTATGAAAAAGGTGCTGAAACACAGGTGTGAATGACCATGCCACACTGAAGCCTATATGTTCTCTTTGTTGCTACTTTACCTTAATATATCCAGAACCATCCTCATTTCACTAAAGCTGGCATTCCTCCCACACAGCCTTCCTCCACATGTTGGCCTCAACACTAATGAATGTGATAATAGGTCCCTCGGGAGCTGAGAAGAGCAATATTGTGCTATAGGCACAGTAGCTGTCAGTGTATTTGCAGTGGCTCTGAAGTAATGTAGGGATTATGTTACAAGCACAGCAGGACGCTGTCCACCAGTGTGTTTGCAAGTGTCGGGTCCTTAACTACAAATCATCTGTACTTCTGTAAGATTTTTAATGACCATTTAATCTTGCTTGCAGATTGCAACTAACTGAACATTGCTGGTGTAAGTCATTGACAACATGGGAATGAGAAGGCTGTGAAGTGGGTAGGAGAAACTATTGTGGCGAGAAACGGGGAAGGTCCTATTCATAGCCAGTATTTGTTTGTCCATTCTGGACTACAGTAGAAACATTGTGGTTCACTGCCAATAGACCCTCCTAAATGTTATACAATGGACCTTTAAGTGATGTATTCCATTACAATGAACATTTCAAGTTTGCATTTACTTTTGTCAGTGTTACATTATTATTATTAATGAAGTTTTAAAGCTGCACTAATCCATATTTTTATATTAATAAATAAGTCAAATGACTGTGTAGGGCTCTGCTGGTCTCTTCAGCTGTGTGGAGCATTTTAGCGTCTTGCAGCTAATTATTTTGGTTTTATGGCCAGCAACTTTACTATTAACTCTAAGCCAGATATCTTTCTTAGCACTTGCTGTCAGGTAGCCAGACACACAACTCGAAATGAATGCTTAGGTTGTTCCATGTCTTATGGATGTGTAAATAAGCAACTGTTTGCTAACACAATAACACATTTAGAATATCAATTATGTACCTGTTGTGTTTTTAGCTAGTTCTGCTGCCTTCAGTGGAAAAAATCTGAAAAAGCCCTTATAATCTAGCTCATAACAATAATGAAACTGTAAAAATAACAGTGTTGATGTTTACTTTTCATTCATATAGAACAGAAATGAATGGAAGTCAATGGCTGCCAGAAGCAGTAGTAAAAAATACTTTCAAAATTCTAAAATATAGTAGCAGTTTGCATATAAAAGCAACATATGTGAAGTAAATAAAACATGCACAACCACTGGCCTTAAAATGGAAATAGCTGCTGGTGTTTGAAACCCACGTTCGTGATAAAGCTGCCTGCATCAACAAAATGAATGCATGACAATATACCAATGTCCTGCAGTAAAGAGCCAAAGTAAATAAAAATCACTGCTGCTAATCACATTTGGAGCCCTTGGTAACTTGGAGTAAACAGTTGATTTAGCTTTGTTATGATTACTGGAAAATGGCTGCATGTCATGAAAAGAAATCAAAATCCTGTGCAACAAAAGTAAACAAAGCATTTTGATTACTGGAACCCAAACTACTGACTTTGGACACATTTCATTAAAATTCCCCCACAAGAAACTGAACTAAAAAAATCACATGATCATACTACATGACAGTGCCACTAACATTTAACCCTAAGCTTTTTTTATATGCATACAATGATGGAATCTATAAAGCAGAAATGAGAATGGAGATGCCGCCTCGTTCTGGGCAGTTGTGTGGAAAATAAGAAAGGCAAACTTGATGACTTCTTAAACAAATGACAGTGATTGATAGATCAAGCAATTCCTCAAGTGCCTAGCTAACAAAGGAGGTGCCGATAGGACTCTAGTAGCAATCAATAGAGGTATACAAGAAGACAATATTGGTTCATTTAATGAGAACTGAATATTTGTGTGGTTACTGAAGTGTACTGGTTTCTTAGTCATTTTTTATTTTTTTGCAAAGAAGAAAAACGATCAAAGACTTTAATAAGGCAAAGAGACAAAGACTTTTCAGGTTCTGTCAGTATTTTATTTCAGACCATTCTCAGCGACCCCACTGGAGTAGTAAATGTAACACACAAGAAAGAGCAATCACTCTTGAACAAAGAGAGGGTTCTTCTTAGAAGAAAACACCTCCTGTGTCATGGGTGAGGGGCAGGATTTTGTGATGAAAGGTTGATTCAGTGGGTGATTGACCAGATTTATATCTCTTCTTCAAGGAATCGACATCTCTCCTTCAAATGAAAAACACCCAGAGACACACAGAAAACAGACAATCCCACTTTAGCCTCTTTGAAACAGTTTCAGTCGAGAGGCAATCCCTGCTCGAGCCGTCCCTCCAGTGGTCAAGAGGAACAGATTGTGGAAATGTGTGGGGAACCCAAACACGCCTAATGCTAGTAATTATGATGGTGCAATAAAAAAAAGCAAGTGGTGTAGAAAATTGGATAAAAATACAAGGGTCAGTAACAAATAAGAAAACACCTCTGCAGAAGAGATGGTTTTCCTGTAGCAGAATCAGTAACGGGCAGCAAGTCAATATCTGAAAATAAAGGAAAATGACAGATATTGACCGTGCAGCTACAGTATACCAATATAAAATCTCACTTCTTCCTTCCCCTACGTCCCCGTCCCTCCCCTCCGCTGCTCCCCCTTCTTTGTTACAGGGCTTTTACGAGCCAGAGGCAGCGCCGTCACCCGTGGGTGCCTCCGGGCAGGGCGGGGTCAGAGATGGCGTGTGCAGGGTCGCAGGTGAAGGACACGGTGATGGCGAAGCGCGTCCCCCATGTCACCCTCTCAACGCGGTGGAGGTTCTCGGTGCCGGAAGAGAAGAAGGAGACTCGTCCTGGAAGGAATGAGAGAGACTTCTTAGGACAGAGGAGAGGAAAAGGGTTTAAAGGAATAGTTCAACATTTTGGGAAATGTGGTTATTTGGCTTTCTTGAGTGAGTGCATCATAATCTGTTCAACCAACTAAATGGTCTGTATGTGTATGTAGGAATTGGTGGGGCTTAAACCAAATGTAAATGGGCCCAAACAGACGTTAGTTTAAGCCTTAAAACTGATATAGGTTGATTACAAGTTGCTATATTTATCAGAAAACTATTTTCAGAACAGCCTTCAGAGCAATGTTTTTTGTAGTTGCTATGTTTATTGTTTATTACAAAACTGATCACACTTTACTCTGATGACTCATAAAAAATACAATATCCGTACCGGATACTCGTTTTAGCTGAGTACTCGCTCAATAATTACTTAATTACTGAGCTTTGTTAACTGTGTTGGTGGAAGTAAGCTAGCTGTGCCCCCCTGCCTCCAGTCATTAAGCTAAGATATGCTAAACACATCCCAACTCCAACTAAACTGTTGTCATCAGAAGCTATAACAAGTAACTCCCCCTAAAATCAAAAATCTTCACTTTTACGTTTCTTTTCCTCTACAGCAGTGGTTCCAAACCTTTTTCCATATACTATTCAATGCATAACAATAACAGTAGAGAAGAACTGATAAACTGTACAATGAATCCAAACAGTAAACACAATAACTGCAGGAGGTTTATGTAAAACAAGCAATTTGGATGAATTTTGAGTAAATTATTTCCTGTGAATATTGATCGTAGGAACTTTTTATACAGTTCTCTCGTGTTATGTGTATTATGTATTTTTAGTTTTCAACAATCATACAGTTAATAAGATTATTTTTTGACAAATTAAGTGTTTCCTTTTCATTGTTGTTTGCTCTTGGGTTGTTTTAACTGCATACTAGCTGAGATATAGGCCTACTGTTTATATTTTTTAAGTTTTCTTACACCCCTTAAAATCAAGAAGGCCTTGCAACAACCTGTGAAGCTTTGGTGACCCCTAGTGGGGGTCCCAACCCCCAGGTTTAGAACCACTACTGTACGGGATAAAAACAAACATAGATACATTGTATTAACTAGTGACCTTCTTTATGCTTTCCAGCTCTGTATTTAATTCACAAGCATGAGAGCAGTAATGATATTCTTATCACAATCTTGGAAAGACAGTAAATAAGCTTATTCCCCAAAATGTTGAATGATTCATTCAAAGAAGTATGCACACTGTGCAGTGCTGCTTGTGGAACTGAAGGGAAATTGGGGAGAGCATATAACACAAAAAGAAAAAGAAAGAAGCCTGAACCCTGTAGAGATAAAGTGGCCACGAGGACACGCTCAGCTTATTCCTGGAATATGTATTTAAGCGAATGCTGAAATGCATTCTTTTGACAGTCTGATCTAAAACATTTTTTCTTGGACCGACACGCAGTGTGGGTTTGGGAAGGTTTCCTCATGCTAAATTCTCTTCGTTTATCAGAGGCTTTGCTTCGCTGGGCCAGCTAATGAGCTATTACCATTCACTAGCTAGTTTGCTTCTTTCTAACACAACCTGCTCTCTCTTTGATCGACATTTGCATTAATGTTTACATATCTATTCTGCATTTGTATCCCATAATTAAGAGATTTCTATTTTAAAAGTTTTCAGACTCTTGTTACAAAACTTCCATTTTCTCTGCCTTTTGAAGGGGTTATCTCATTATGTGAATATGAATAAAAAGCTGGAATCATTGTGCCCCAATTTGTTTGGTATACTTTCCCTCCAAGGAATACTGACGACTTTCGTTTATCTGTGCGTGTGTGTGTGTGACTGTGTGTGTGGGAGGGTAAATCCCCCTGGCAGGGCATTAGCTGAGAACGTCAGGGGAAATCACTGCTCAGTTAAACAATGGAACTACGCACTGAAAACCCAAAGAATGGGACATAAGAAGAAAGAGTATGAATGCACAAAAAACAGACCGTGAGCAGCAAGACAATAAGTAGTGGTCTGCTTATTTTATGTCAATGAAAAGGAGAGCATTTCAAGTGCTCAAATTAGCCACACAGCTTTAGATAACTGCACAATGAAATAATCTTTGAAAATAATCCAGTGCACTTGTCAATGTAAGCGTTCTGAGTGGTTACTGTGAAGGGCCCGGCAGATACAGTACAGTCAGCAGCACAGATTAGTGGCGACACAATGGAGGGATATTCACAGAGGAATTTTAGTTTTAGTTTGTCTACTCAGTGAGAGTCAAATTACCTATGCTACTATTACTATTTTAATTTGCATATACATAGATTTTTCTTACTTACAGTTTCTACGTAAATGCTTCACACACTCAATGCCCCCTCTGCTGCATTTTTCTCATTTTCTGCCAGGGAGCTAGCAGAATTTAGGTTTAATTACACTTTAAACAGCAGCATCACAGTCTCTCCTCGAAGTAGACCTTCTCTTTGCTCAAAAGCTGGTGTAGGAATCTTTATAAATAACTCAGGTCCTACTGTGTGACAGGAGTGTTAACTTTCAGCACAGATATAGGCTCTGATCACGGTCTCTTATCATGATCAAAAGATAAGCTGTGTAGCACCAAGAGAAATCTTATGCATCCAAATGTGGAATTTGCCAAATTTTACCCAACTCACTCCAGTAGATATTGAAGAGGCCTAGGTTTCTTTAGAGAACAAACCGGCCAGGTATGAAACTATTTTCTTCAGCCATCCACATAGAAGTGGAAATGTATTCTTTTGTTCCCCTGAGGCACAGCAATATACTTGTTTCCAGGAATCAATTTGTTTTAATAAACTCTGCCTCTTATGAAAAGGCAAAGGGGAGCAGTCCCCAGGCAGGACAAGACTGATGACCAAAGTCTGAGGCCCTGACTCCCACTAGTGTTCCTGTATCATTTCCAAACCATGTGTATAAGGGTCCCTAACTCTGTGTTGCATCTGCATGATGTGGAAGTAGCGTGGTTCATCTTGTGGAGTATTCCTGGTAAAAAAAACAAGGACCTTACGGTAACTATTTTTAGAGACTTAATCCATATAAGTCAACAACGATTGTTAAAAAAATGTTCTCCACTTGGCCCTGTAGTAGACTTTCATTAGCAATAAGGTCCAACAATCTATTAGAAATAAACACCAAAAAACCTCTGAAGAAAATATCTTTTAACATCTCATCAGCTGGAGGAGGTTTAACTGTGTCAAGCCTCAGCCCTGATGTGCCCTGACCAGCAGCATCAAAGGCAAGACTGAAAATACCTCTCAAATAGCTGATAATCAGTCAAAATATACACAGACATCACATCACATATCTTTAATGAGCTAGAATTGGCTGACTGTATCTGGCATTTCAGTTAATCTGTCAGCCTCTAAATGGTTGATGAGATGTTGATGAAGATGATTTACATACTGGACTGGATTTGTTGTACTGTATAGCGGACAGGATAGAGCAGCAAGTGTGCTAGTGTTTACCCATTAAATGTGTTCACAGTGAGTCATTATTTGCAAGGAAAATATATGTACAACAAAATATGTATTTTCATCCATTGTTCAAAGGCAATTAATTCTTCAGGCTTATTTCCGCTCTCTTAATCCCTGCTGTACTGTTGCTACTCTCAGTTGTACACACGTCAAGAGGCATTCAGGAACTACAGACTATGACTGTGAGTTACTCATGATTACAATTCCGTCTGGCTAAATTTAGTCGGCTGTTGTGGAACACCAGACAATAATACATTTTGAAGGCTTAGGATGCCTATGACAGTTCCTCGCATAACTTGATTGTAAACTGGGACATATTGTCCAATTTTGACATGAAAGAAGCATTAAAGAGTAACACCAGCAATTGTACACATCAAGGTCTGTTTACAAGCCTTGGGGAGTACAACTGCCTACGTGGGGAAAAAAAAAAGTTGTATAAAGCATTTTTGTGGCTCCAGAGGGAGCTGTGTGCAGTCTGATAACTGTCCCATTATTAAAAACATAGCAGATTAATTTTCTGTCTAGACTAATTGTTTAGCTCTGTATGCATGTTTAGATGGGGCTCTTTAACCTTTGACCTGCCTAGTAAAGTGATTCACAGTCTAGAGGCTACAACAGGTTCCTTAAAATAAAAGATAAAACAAAAACCTTCCCGTTCCATAAATTCTTGCTTCCTATTAGGTTTCTCTTTAAACTGTCTGCTGCGCAGTTTATTGCCAACACAAGGTAGGACAAAATGTAATAGCCAATTCTGGAGATAAAATGGAAAAGCAATGTTAACCAATGACTTAGTTTAGGTATTTTTAAGCATGATTAAGCATGACTTGTAAGATTTTGTAACTTGTTAGGTTTAGGCAGCTAATGCATTATACAGATAAGGTATTGTATTTTACATTTTCAGTTTGTTTAATAGTGAATATAAGGAGAGCTGGGTACAAAACAAAATCTGAACAGACAGAAAAAGAAGTGGCAAGTACAGAAAAGTAACCTATGAAATTCAAATTTTATCAACAGGAAGATGATGAATCCATTGCTTAAGCACTTAAAACAATGGTTGACATAATGTTGGAGAAATGCACTGCAGAAACACTACAGTGTCTGTTTGAGCGTTAGGCTTTTCAATGCTTTTGTATTTACTGCTCCGCTAGTTGCTATCACCGACAAACTACTTCACTTTGTCATCGGTTCAACACCAACTGCCGCTCTTCAAGCCTCTGGTCTATTTTTGCTTTAATAAAACAGCCACACAACACTGATTTGCACTTAATGAGGTCTTTAACTTCAGAGAGCCAACAAGGATGAGTGTGCGATGCCAACAAGATGCTAAACGGTGCGTGACTCACCCGATCCTCATACCGGTTTGCTGCTGCAGTGAAATGTCCATAAACACCACCAACATAGTTAACAAGGCGCACAGCACATCGACACACTGTCCAGTCGATGTATTGATTACTTCCATCGTTCCCGGCCTCATTATTAATTAGTGGTGGATGAATCACACAGGCAGTATGATGTCTCTAAGGAGGCTCTGATGAAAGTTAAAAGGAGATGGTGTGCGGTGATGTTGAATTAAAAAGCGGTTTGAACATTCCAGAGAGATCTGAGGTGGAAAATACTTTCCCAAATGTAATTACCAGGATTACTTTGTGACTCAGCCCTGGAGTGGTCTGAAATATAAGCAATTTTACATTTGTTTCCCACCACACCGCAGATCAGTCTATAGAGCAGCACTGAGGCCAGTAGAGGCTGCCGTTGCTCTCAGCGATAATATCACTTGTTTACGATAGTGGTACAGGAGCTCTGTTTTTTTTTTTTTTAAATGTTTTATACAGTAGTGGATTTGAGCCACATCACCTAAAACAAAGACCACCTCCAACTAACATCTTAAAAACAAATACAGTTTTATGAAATATGGCATTCACCATATATCACTACCATTTAATGAGTGATGAAATTAACTCATTTTGATAAATGATAATTAAACGTTTTCTAGTCTAGTCTTGATTTGGTGCTTTTCAAATTTAATATATTTAGGTTTTGGACTGTTGGTCAGGCAAAACATGGACAGGAATTTATGGTCACTCTTTGATTGACTAACAATCAATTAAAGTTAAGTTTACATGTTATGGAGAGTACTACTGAAACCTGTCAAGTCAAGTATAAGCTCCCAGGAACTGGGCTGTGAGCGGTTTTTGGCAAAGTGGCCTCTTCAGGTATCAAAAATACTTGACCAATACTTTATGGAAGTAAAATACTAAATTGTTCGTGTGCGCCTATAATCAAGAAATTAACTGATTATAAAAACAATCATTAGTTGCAACCCTAATTTTACCAATACAGCACTGGGAATCAGCCCTGGTATGTGCCAAGAATCAGTTCAGACATTTTCTTTGTATTCAGTGTCTGTGTGTTTACAGAAGAAGACCCACGAAGGTCAAGCTGGTGGGTTGAAGGCGGCAGGCCAGCTGAGGTTATCTAATTCCCCTGTGGTTCTCTAAGCTGGCAGGTTAACCCCTATTGGCTCCTCTGACTGACAGGTGTGCCTTTTTCACTCTCTGTCCTTCCTTTGCTTGCTTGTATCTTCCATTCCAGGCCAAACACCCTATCTCTCTATCTACACTTTATCTATCTCCCAGCCATTTTCTGTCCACCCTCCATACAGTCTCCCTCTTTGCTCTATAGGGGATGCTTTCAGGTTCTGCAAACCCATCAGTCATCTCTCTCTCCCTTCTAATCCTCCACTCTTTATCCTCCTCACTTCCTCCGCAAACTTGAACAACACCTCCACCTCCATCCTCCTGATGTGCATCATTACAGTTGTAACTTTTGCTCTCTCTGACAGCCAAGTCCTGATTGTCTTCCTGGTGTTATAATTACACCTTATTCATCACTGTCACCTCAATGAGCCATGATTATCTCAGCAAACGAATCACCCGTCCAGATATGAGGAACAGACTCTCACAAGTCAAAACCCGTCAGTCGGCTCTTAAGCATGCAACTCAAAGAGCTTCTCCATGAGGTGATGTGTGTTTTAGCAGAGACAAATAAATGATCTGGGCTATTGATGCAATATACATGGGGTTTTGCTGTGTCTCCTACTTGATGCATCTCTCTGAATGAGAATCACAGTGACAGGCATCAGTGACAGTGCTTGGGTTTCATCAGTGGCTTTGACGGGTCTGTCATATTTAGATTCTCAAGTTTGCCCCGACTCCACTAAAAATTTAAAATCTATAAAGGAGGACCTTAGAGAGAGAGCACTTGTCCTACATCTCTCTTGTCCCATCCCTTGCTCCTCTTCTTGGCTCAGCAGGTTTCATCATGCTGTCGCCATTCTCTCGGTTGTCTGGAGGTTACTCTCACTTCACTGATTCAAGATGGCTGTGCTATTCACAAAAACAAGTCCCAGGAGACAAGGCGGCAGGCAAGCAGTCACTCCTTATTACCATATGTCCTTCAGCCAACGTCCCTCACCACTCCATCAACGGACACGATCAGTGGCCAAGGATGCTTCACTGTTGCTCACTGACTGCGTAAGAGGCTTGTGTCTGCCTGGCACATGGGGGGTTTGCGCAGAGTCGAGATGGATGTCACAGAGGGGCCGGATGCGGGAAAAGTGAAAAATTGTAGGCGAGGAATGAGACGGAAGAGGACTGCCTTTCTGAATTGCTGTTGATTAAAAGTGGCAGAGGAGCAGGATTAGAGGGCAGGTGATGATGGACAATGGGTGAGATAAAGGGAAGGGAAGGGCAACAGAGGAAAAAGTGAAAGAAGGGACAAGGTGAACAGAGACAGCAGGGGATGGTTTGGCTGTCTGCTATGATAGAGTGGAAGTAATTCTGTCAGGAAGAGGTCGAGATCTTTTCCATATTGAGCAGGTCCACTGAGCCTTCACTCATTCAGGAGCAACAGAGGCAACGTATAGAACAAAGCAGGGATATATGATTTGAGAAGGATGCTGTTTTTATTGCATATTACAGGCTAATCGCAGTAACTACGCAGTAACAATGAAACAGAGAAAAATGCTTTCAAAGTTTTTTGACTGTCCAGCCAAATGCGTTTAAGGTACAACAGCAGTTATGTGTTTATTAAATATGTATTCTTTTTCATTAATTCAGTGCTTTGACCCCAAAAATGCACTATTCACTACCTATGTATCTCTTTATGGTAATACAGAGACAAAGACAGCGTGCTCCCGGACAAAATCTAAATCTATTTTGAGGTCTTATTACATTAAATCGGTATTTTCTTATTCTTTCATACGTAAGAAGTATTATTTTGTGAGGTTTACCTATTAAGATGGGAAACCGAGGGAGAGTGCAGTAACCACGCTTTGGAAATATTGCTGTATCCCCTTTTCCCCCCCGTCTTTTGTATAGTTTTTCTTTTTGAGGGTGTTGTGGGTTGAGGGTGTAGAGAGGGTGTGTAGAGCCCCATGAAACAAACTGATGATGTTAGGCTACAGCATATAAATAACATTGATTTGACACAAAACCTTAGGCCTCATCTAAGATTCCACAAGTGTTCTATGACTTTCTGTAGGTAAACCAGATTGCTTCCATGACCTTTCAACATCGTGCTACTAGCTCAGGAAACATTGCAAAGGTTTGTGTTTTGTGCTTGCCATGAGTAAAATTGAAAAGTTGAAAAGTTGAAAAAGTTAAAAAGAAATGCACAGTCAAAACTGCAGAGTAAAAGTGGAGCAAAAGGGCTGAAAAGTCACCATTCAATTCAATACATGTCTGAAACACGTTGGTAAACCCATTCTGGTGCATTCCTTTAAAGTGACCAGCTCGGAAACTTCCCTGATTTTCCACAAGCTCCCCAGAGAACTGATCCAGTTCCCCTGTTTTGAAATGCCACACATTTGCCTCTGAAGTCCCATGGTACTCCTGAATATTTAAACCCTGTATAGGATATTTTTCCTGTGTGCTTTTTGCCCAGGTAAGTTTTAAATCCCCATTTAATCACAGCTTTACCCATATCTTCTTTATGTTCTATATGTGCAGTATATAGGTTGTATTGACAAACACAGACTACTGTATTTCCTAAGAGATTAAGATGTTGTTATGTCTAACCCTCCAGGTACTATAAGGGTGGTAAAGCCTAATCCCCTGTACTTTCCCTGTGCAGCAGTCTGCTGCTGATTACCCATTTACAGATTTTAGAGCACTAAAACCACCTCCAGATTCCCTAATGCAGCCGAGTACAGAAATTATAATTTTAAGCATAGCTGTTAAAATTCTTTATCTATCTTGAATCACTTACTTTAACTGTGGATTAATAGGCTTATTAGACAAAGCCAGGGGTTACCAGGTGTTACTGCTGATAGTCTGGATTTACAGCAGATCAAGGGTCACAGTCTTTGAAGGTGAACCAGAAAAAAAGCAGCACTACATGGCACTACGTTAGGCAGATTTAGTCTTTATTAGCTGGTAGTTACCTGCCCGTGGTTCCACTGTCCGGTTGCCATTTTGGTCCATGAAGATAAATCGTCCCCCGGTGAAGTCAGAGCCGTAGTCAGACAGGTACAGCAGTGAGGTGTAGTCAAAAGAGCCATAAGTCACCTGACAGAGAGTGAGAGGAAGACAGTACCTGCATTAAAACACGACTTTTCACTAAACACTGTACCAAGTTTCATGGAAAATCCATTCAATAGTGGATATATTTCAGTTTTGACCAGGGTGGTAGACCGACTGACCAACCATCTGACTGACATCCCTAGAGCCTAGAGCTGCTATCATGGTTAAGAATTGAAATTGCACATCAGTCCTGAAAACAATGTAATGTATTTTGAGGATCCTGCAGGGAGATGTGAGTAACATTTTGAAGCAAAAAGCCTGTGTTAGAAATTAAGGGCCTGTAATTTAAAAGATGTGGATGGATACAAGACAGGTTGGCTTGAATGAAGAGACCCTCTTGAGTTGCATTATGGGAAGTGTAGAATCCAATCCAATTTTGAAGCTTAAACCATACTGGGGACTAAAAGTCTAAATTTCTCAATCTCAGCTACACCAATTTCTACAATACTAAATTGTACAGCGCCCATTAAACTGGCTCCTATAATGGTCACAAACAGTGTCACTGCTGGGATTTTATTCTTCATACTATAAGGGTGCTTCATGTGTACTACGTGCTGCACTAACAGAGGCAACAATACACTGTCACTGCAGTATGTCAGCCATTCTCATTGGAAAGAATAATGTTTAGTCTTTCTCTCTCTTTTGGGATCAGTTGCTGCTGCCTCACCTGAACTGCTCTCCTCATGAAGACCTTTGAGACAGATTAAATACAGGACTTCTTTATTTGAAAAATAAAATTCCCAAGTGGAATATAAAATGTGGGCATACTTTCAAGTCGCACTGGTGCAACTGTTTATACAACTAAATGGACTGTGGTTTGAAGGCAGACCTGCAATCTGTGGTCCCGCCTTAAGATGTAGCCAACTGCACTGTGGGCTATTTAGCCAGCACAAGTTACAACAGCACTAATAAGGCATGTTCAGATCCATGAGAGCCCACTGCGCTCAACCAGTATGTAGCCCTAATGAAACATCAAAGAGTGAGTTGACAAGGAACATGAGAGGCTGTCTTTTCAAAGAGTCAAACAGTAATTTTAGACTGCGACTGCTCTAACTTGATCGTACCTCAAAGAAAGAAAAACAAAGTCAACTACAGAGTTTCATGAATTGCTGAAACAACTTCAAACTCCCCTGGTTCAGAGAAAACACACTGCTTCCAGCTAAGTTCAATAATTTCAATACGCAACTTTGAAAATTACATATTATATTACTAATCATCAGTGCTTATCTGTCTAGAAGACTGTGTTTCTACCTGCCTTAATGCTTCAATGCTGCTCCCCGGACACAAGATTAAGATAAGATAAGATATTCCTTTATTGATCCCCTTTAGGAGAAATTCATTCAAGTTTAGTATAACAGTATCACAATTTTTGGAAATTTCTTTCTCAAGATTTCTACAATAAGCTAATGAATTGGAGTCAAATGGAGTTTTTACCACTAAGGGGCAGAGGAATGAGCTGAAAAGTAGTATAGTATAGCATCACCATATACATTTGTTACAGTGAATAGCGGACTGTTACATATAGACCTTTTTCACAGCAGTCATTTTGACATGAAATAGTAAGGTAAACACCCATTTGACATCCATGGTAACCTACTATTTCATGTCAAAATGTGAAAAAAAAAAAAAAATTCACTATATTTTTAGCTCTGTTTTGGTATTTTGTATTTTGGCATTATTGTCAATTTGTGTAAATAAAAATCAATAAACAAAGTTTATATTTCTTTACATTTTTCGCAGACTTCCACTTATATTCTACAATACACTCTAAGGTCACTATATGGCAAAGGATCATAACACTTCATGGATCTCAATATAATGTATTTCATCTGATAACATCATTGTACATTTCTGTGCACTGTATTTCAGCTGCTTGAATGTTGTATTACACAATCTTTGTTCTGTTTTTCTCTCTTTTAAAAGTATGATGATATTTATTAAGGGGAGGTATCTTCATAAGCCATTTTAAGCATTTATAAGCCAAAAAACATTTTCTCAAATCTACTGGTATCTATCCATGCAAATAGTTTTGGTTTCATTCCCACAACTGGTTTGGAAAATATATAATTTTGTACGTTCTTTAGTCAGACGTTCCAAATCAGTCTGGAGCCTACTGTGCAGGGATGGTTACTATATTAACAAGCTGTTGCACATCCTTCATTCAACAGTAAGACAAGCCAAGGTCATGAATGAAAGTATTACATTTGACATTAGTGCCTGCAAATATAATCAGTTTCAATATGAGTTTATCCCTGCCACGAAGGAGATAAAACGCACTCTCTGTGTTGTCATATTACGACTGGTGCTATGACACCGTATAAGCGATATGATCGATGGGGAGAAAATTCACCAGCAAAGACGTCAGGGGCCATTTACATTTAAATGAGGTTAGGGTTAGCCAATTAGCCCCAAAATGGCAGCAGAGACAGATGGGGAAGAGAAGTGGGTCCTTTCAGATTACATTTTTCCAGCTGTCGAGGGCCAGCAGAAGACGATGAGGTAACAAATATTAATAAGGAAGCGACGGCAAACATGCCTTGTTCCAAGAAGCACCACAAGCAAAGTAAATATGTACTGTTGGTCTCTTTTGCTCTCTCCTTTTTCTCATTTAGCAAGAGGGGAATACAGATCAATATTGAGACAGATGCTGCAACAGTTTTATGAGCGATGGCAATAAATAACGCCTGCAGGCCTATAGTTCAGAAATCTTTCCAAAAACAACATCCAGCGATGTCAACTGTATTACATAAAATGGCAATGATTTTTATGAGCCTCCCGGTAAAACAATAAGAAACATTAAATAAAATCAAATATACTCCTACTCTTATCAATTCAGGAGTTACGCATCATATTTTTCCACTTTTTAACTTAAAGAAAGTTGTAAAACATTCAAACTTTTTCTCCCCAGACGCCCCATTTGTTTGAAACTTGCTTAAAGGTCTTTCGATCCCAGAGCAACTTTAACGTCTCATGATGACATCCAAAGTGTAAAGTGAAAGACCACAAAAGTGGCAACGCATGAATATTTATAAAGAATGAACCATGTATGATTTGAACAGTTTACATAAGAGAACAGAAGCATGGGCAATAGGAAATTAAGAAACTGCCTTGAAGGGGACCACTTAATTTAAGAAATTATGTAAAAATAACTATATCTTGGTTTAGCAAGATCTAAAACTTTCAGCAGTTCAATGTCTGAACTGAAGTCAGTGTGAGAGAAAGAAACCAAAGGGGGTGTTCTGTAAATCTTATCCATTTTCTGATGTTAATCTGATCATAGGTCCCATTGGCAGCAACCTCAGTCCTGCATTTGTGACGTCAGAAAGGTGTGGGTTGAGGGGGTTGAAGACGCTGTTTGATGCTGCTTGAACAGCCAAATGGGTCTTCCACAGGGTCTCCTCCCAGTTGGACAGGCCTGAGAAACCTCCTCAGTGAGGCACCCAGGAGGCATCCTTATCAGCTGCCCTAACCACCTCAACCACCTTTTAATGCAAAGGAGCACTAATTTTACTTCAAGCACCTTCCGGATCTTTTTCTGTCGCTCTTTACTGGCTTGTTGAAGTAGAACTGACACCAAGCAACTTCCGGAATCAGTCGAGACACAAAATCAATGGGGCCTTCACGAGTCTATTGCCTGCCTGCAGCTCTTTGCGCATAGACTCTAGTACTGTAATTAGGTGTTGCACACCAGAAACTGCCTCATCTAAAGTATTCATGTGGTGCTCGGTCACCTGGTGTGCCTTTTGAAGGATGGATAAGCTTGTTTCAGTCACCCTTTATTTAAAACCCAAGCACCCTGTGGAATCTCATTTTGACTTCTGCAGTGCTGACTGTGATAAATGGAGAGCCAATCCATTCAAGATATCGAGATGATTCCCATCAGACCATTTAACGGGAGCAGATGACACCTTAGCCGTGTCATTAGGAATAACCCAAAACTGAACTTTACGCTCCTGGTACCAATTCTAAAACTCAGGGCCACATTTTATCCATGTAGAAGGAGATGTGGCTCTGTTTTTGTGTGTTACCTTATCTATGTGTGGGTGCCAGTACTCGTCGTGTTGGGTCTTGGCTCCTGTGCTGTTGATTCTGGAGAAGAAGGTGGGCTTGGTGAGGTACATCAGGGTCGGGTCCAAACCAAAAGTCTCAGCAATAACTGTCTGAATACGCCCACGTACATCTCTAACGGACACAGAAAACAGACACAGCATGTCAGATTGAAAAATCTGCCTTAATTACTAAAGTAAGTATGATTTATGACCATGATACAGTGAGCAACTTTGGGCAACGTTCATCAAGAGGATGTGTCAACTGCAGTTCAGCAGCTAAGGGTTGATGAGGACTGATACAAGCACATTAGGACTTCAACTGCAACCAGCAAATGGTTTCTGACAATATTCAATGTGTTTTTATTTGGGTCCAAGAGGTGTGTGCATGAAACTCCATACATCCAAATACAAGCGGATGCTATTAAAGGCATTATAATAAGCAATTATGTTTGTTATATTGTGTACAAAGTACCATCATTTGAGTGTATGTCACAAAGAATGTTGGGTATTTTATTTTGAATCAAAACTCTAAGAATGTGCAATACATGCATGGGTGATTTTTAATTAAGGTTCCTAAGTCACCTGTAAAGCTGGAAATCCTCTTGTGTGAACACATCCCTGATCTGATCCCCAAAGTACCTGCAGCCACATTCCGCCACACAATCACACACAGACAGTTCGGGACGCAGACAAAGCCAATCAGAGACACATGAGCAGACACAAACACGAGTGCAGACACAGCAGAGGGGGGAAAGAGAGCAGAGGAGATGGGTTCTGTTAGCATAAATTAACGTTTCACAGCACGGCACTGTGTGTCATTATCCAGACGGGTGTGCCACCCAGCCATCCAAAACACAGCAGATAGTAAACGTTTGACTGCTTCACATGAGGAAGTCCCCAGCGGGGGGTGAAGGGTGGGAGTGCTATCGTCATCACTTCCTGATTAAAATGAGCCAGATGGTCCCAGAGGATCCGGTGTCAGCCACCTGCCCCGTGGGATGAGAGAGAGAGAGAGATGGGAGGAAACTGAGGGAGAAGGGGATGAGGGGAGGAGGTAAAAGAGAGGGAGAAGGACAGAGGGGGGGCAGATCATCCAAATAAAACTGGATTCTGCTGGCAGTGATGAATGAGTGCCGTATGGGTCACTGGACCTGGAGAAGAAGCTCACAAGGTGTCAGTAAGATTGATGACTAACTTTATATTTTGGTGAATATATTTCTGCAAGTTTGACATATTATGCAGGATGTCATTTCTGCAGGCATAAAAATAGTGTAGACACAGTGAAGAACAAATAAACAGACTATTTTCCCACCTGTAGATGTTGACAAACTGTTTTCCCATCGAGAGCGCCCCAGAGTGCAAGTCCAGTATGGAAGCCTGCAGGGTCAAAAGCAAAACAGGAATCAGTGCAAATGACCAATCGGTCGGTTAAATGAATGCTGGCTGTTTATGCACACGCATGGCACAGTCAGTGCTTCAGGATTTAGCTCTGTGCCCTCTGTGGCCCTTTCATGGCATTCTCGCTCTGCCCTTTAGTTGTTATTGCTTGTCAACTCCTTTGGGGCACTCCACTGTTTATCACAATCCAGAAATAAGTCATTTTCTCAGAAGTCCCCCTGTTGCTTCCCCTCCCTTCACTTAAGTGTCTTAACACTCCATAAACAGTTCATTTATTGGCTAAGGACCAGGCCTGCTGGGGACGGAGAGCAAGGGGTAGGGCATGCCAGGGACATCCAGACGTCTCTGGACAAGAATATGACTCCACGTTTTATCTGCCAGAGCGGCTCGTCGAGCTGGAGCTCTGCTTATTGTGCCAGGCTGCCTTCTAGTGTCAACAGAGGCCCATTACAGCAGGGAGTAAAACAAATGGACAAATGTGGGCCATCTAGGCTTATTCTGGTGCTAATCTCTATGTAGAGAATGGAGATCTGTTCATGAGAGCACTGTCATGGCAAAAGCCCATTAGATTATAGATTGACTGTATAATTAGAAGCAGAACATACTTTAGATTTAAAAGGACTGTACCATTGTGTACACTTATCATACTTTTGCATGATTTCAGTTCATTTTAGACAGCTATTAAAAGGAGAGGCTGGTGGTATTGCACATATTCTTCTTATTGTCAACAAATCCCACAAATAGCCTACGCCAATTAGATTTATTTTTAATGATGTTGATGAGACATTTTGTTTAAATTCTAATTATTCAGCAGATCCCATTAGAAGACAATGGCAGATATATACACAGGAATCAAATTGCAGGGGAGACCATTTAAAATACTACACAGGTTGTCGAGTTATTTTCAGTGCATAAGCACACATGTTGTAAAAACGTCAGAGGATACAGAAATTTCAAAGAGAAGTGAAAGATGACATGTTTACCTTGGTATGATTTGGACTAACCCCCCTTTCAGTATACACTGGCAGCTAAGGTGGACAGTAAACATTACCATAATGACGATTAGTATGAAGTACTGTTAGAAATACTGCCTCTGGAGAAACTGACCCACACCTTTCACGAACCGAGTCATTTGCCGGATTCACACTGCACGATATATTTGTCTGTTAAAATGATCACCGTGTCGAATTAGGCGTTTATTCTTATCATTGTGTTAGGCTTTGGGAGAATGGTCAGCAAAAGGTTTAATGGGTAAAAACGTTCAAAACACCAAGCAAACGCTGTCCGAGTATGCATTAATGCCTGCCTTCCTGTCAATTTATTCCAACAATTTAATTTGGCGATATACTCACTCCTCCTTCTGACCCAGCCAACGCCAGCCCTCTCTCAGCCAGCCTGCGTGTCAGAGACAGATAGCAAAAAAAATGATTCAGCTGCACTACAGAGATAGAACACCGTGAATGGAAAAACAACTAGAGAGGCAGAGAGGGAGATGAGACACATTGCACTTTGTATGACTGTTGTTTACCTCCTGAGGAGCTGAGCCTCCTCCCTCGTCACCACGCTGTCTGTGACTGCGCGGCCACACTTCTGAGGGGTGCATCCTGGGAGAGAGATATGTGAGAAAGGATTCGGAAAATAATAATAAAGTTTGTGAAGTACCCTCTGGTTTTGGAGGCTTCGGGCCCCATAGCAGAGAAAGAAAGTACAAGGTAAGGAGTTGATTGGAGTTTTCTCATTAATGCCACAAGATTCAGGGTTTCCCTCCAACCTCTGACGATTATTATTCATCGCTCGAAGCCTGAGCCTCCCGCTGTGTTTTCTTTGCACAGTTTGAACTCCGAGCGGCAGTTATGTTTAATAAGACAAATTTCCAATTTGTACTCTACTTTCTGCCAAGGATGGGCTCAAAAACGTTTTAAATAAATATCACAGGAGATTAGGCAGACAGCTGTATCCAGTGCATTTGGAAACGTCTACATTCAAGTAAGTTGTGTTTGGAATTTGGGAATCAAGAGTGCTTTGATTCCAGTATGATAATAAATGTTTGACTAGAATAATACCTTATTATTGATTTCATATTTGGTTTATTTCCAGCACATCGGAATGAGTCGAGTTTTGTTGCCCAAATGGAAATCAGCCTCTGTCACCTGATCGTGGCCTGCTGACCTGTACTCACTCTTAAAATGAACCATTTTGCAATTATTCTGATAAATATTTATTCTTATCTATTCTGATTAATGCAAAACATTCTCTGCTTCTAGCTTCTCAGGATTTGCTTAGACCCTTATTTAAAGTTGAAAAATAACTTTTTAGCATTATTTCTAAAATGTTCACTGTGTTCTGACAGTTAGTACATAAAACAGAAAATCTATGAAAAAATCTGGTTCCTCTGGCTCGTTGTAGCATTCCTAATGGCATTTGCAAGAATCCATCAGGCTTGGAGGATAACAATATAAACCGCCATTGGGTTGGAAGCTTGAAGATAGCTGATTGATGAGTCTCATTCCTAGGGTCTAAAAGCCCAGACACCCTGGGAACGCTTTACTATCTTCTTGGCTCTGATTGGTTGTTTTTGTTCAATGCCATTGGGAGAACTACGAGGAGCCAGAGGAACCTGATTTTTTTCACAGATTATCTGTCTCATATACTACTGTCAGCATATAATGTAGGTTTCAGCAAATATAACAAAAAAATATTTTTATAAAGCTTACTTACTGCAGCTTTAAGTTTAAGCTTAACAATAACTACATTTGGGTAAAAACTGCATTTTCCTGTCAAGCATCTCTCCCTTCTGACCACAGTGACTTTACACAGGTTTGAACACATTTCTATGTATGAAGCTAACAGGTTAGTATTTGCTGTTCATCACTTCCAATTTATCTATTGATGAAATATGCAGTCCTACAGTACGTATGGTAACATTATGGTCGAGTAAGCTTGTGCTATATTGCCATCTAGTGGATTATTTCCATGCTATTTCACACTTGGAATCTGGAGACAATGGTTTTTAGTTATATAGTATATATACACTATATTACTATATAATATACTATATTATATAGTATTCTATGTTATTTAGCAAATCAGACTTTTAAGTCTACTTTAAGTTCAGTTTTATTGTTTTTTATAATGTAAAAATAGCAATTCACATAATTCAGTATGATTTTAACAGTGTTTTTAGCTGTTTTTATCATGTAAAACTACTAAAAGCCAGAGCAGAATCCAACACCAGGAACAAGCCACTGGATTAGCATGGTATTTATCAAGTAGGCTTGGCTTTATCTCGTCCCAGCCATGTTTACCCAGCAGAGAGGTCAGGTGTCAGCTGACTGCCTGACACAGAACAGTTCAGGGAACAGAGTCTCACCTGGATAGCGTTGGTAGTTCTCGTAGTCTTCAGAGCACTGGACTGTGTAGACTCTGGGCTGGGGAGAGACCAGCTCACCTCGGCTGACCAATGTCTCTGTAATTTCGCCGTCTAGAGAGGTTATGTAGAGCCACACAGCCGCCCCGCACACAGTCACAGCTATCAGCAGCAGGGCGACAGGCCCTCGGGACGCCCTCCATGCAGATCCCTGCCGCAGCGCATTACCTCTGACCAACACAGATAGAAGGGCCACGTGATCAAGTGAATTTGACTGAACTGACTGAACTGACTGAAGTATGGGGTACTTCTGCAGTTGGCGGAGTCTACGTGGAAAGATTGTGGACTAGCTCATCTACTTTGAAAAAATTGTAATTATTTGATGATGACCAAAACAAAATATATCCAGATATTTGTGTTTGGGAGGAAAATGAAACATCGAAATAGGATTACAGATTGGTATGATGCTTAACTTAAGCAAATATGATAAAGAATAAACAATAACTTTTAGCTATGATATGCCAACTTGGTAGTACACACATCCAACAACACCTTAAAGCCAAGAGTTGTCAGCCATTGAGTAAAAAATTGCTAAAAGCAATAATGGATAAATCATTTAAATAGTTGGATAAAAGTATTTTATAAACAGCTGAAATAATTCTCTAAAAGTAACTAAATGAAATGTGTAATAGATAACCAACAAATTCCAGCTTCTGCCACTCCAAGTGTAGTGGTATAAATGCAAACGTGATAAAACCATCGTAAACACAGAATTCATAGTAATGCCTAATATATAGTATAGTAAATTCTATTTATAAAATCACTATTTTTATAATCATCTGTATTTCATTTTAGGTTTTGCCTACAATCTCAATAACAGCCTATGATTTAATGTTTCATATTAGCCTTACACCATTCTAAGATAGTGTGTACTATCGCGATACATCGAGGTATTATTTTATTTGCTGGTAAGAGATTGTAAGGTGCTCTCTAGGTGAAAATGCTTTGTAACCACCTCGCCCCGGTGTGAGTCCCCACTATGAGGATGCCAGCAGCTAACATGTATTTACATTACAGGTTCATTAAATAAACTGTTTACACATTAAAGTAATGGAGTGATGTTAGTAGCACCAACAACCTCATTAACATACAGACACAGAATTAGTACTATTTATTTATT